CCCCAAAACCCCAAAACCCCAAAACCCCAAAACCCCAAAACCCCTATACACTAAAATTAATTGATATAATATTATATATTTAAGATGAAAGAGAAAAAGGAAAGCGAATTCGTCCTAAAAGAGGAAGAAAGCTCAAACAACACTTCTGCCTCTATCCCAAAACAAGAAGGCGATAGAGGGGAAACTTCCACAGGCTTCAAGCTGTACAAGATCCGCTGGCCGATATGAGCCTTCTTTACCATGTCGATGGCAGCTAGCGGATTAGCTCAGATTGGGTTAGGTCCAATCATGACTATCATTCAAGACATCTACGATGTGAAGGGAATTATGTCTTCTCTCCTGATTTTGCCATTTACTATTTTCTTTATTCCTTTAATTTTCCCTGCAAATTATCTGATTGAGAATTATGGGATAAGAATACCTGTATATATTGCTTCCTTGACTTTGGTTATTGGGGCATGGATCAGGATTTTCGTGAACACAAGTTATTATTTCCTCCTAGCTGGTCAATGAATTATGGCACTTGGGCAACCATTTGTGCTGTCTTCTCCCGCCAAACTGGCTGGTGTGTGGTTCGGTGATAAAGAAAGAGCCATTGCAACCACAGTTGGATCAATTGCAACCCCATTTGGAGCGGTTATAGGATATCTTCTCCCATTACCGTTGATCTCTGATCAGGATGTTACACCTCAGGATCATGCAGAATCTACATTTTTAAGATATATAATCGTCCAAAGCATTATAATTACAGTTTTGGGACTCCCAGTAATGTTATTTATTCAAAACAGACCACCAACTCCTCCAAGTATTTCAGCTGCAAATGCAATTAAAAAGAAATCTGGAGGAATGTGTAAGAGCATGAAGAAGCTAGTTGGAAGTATCGATTTTATTTGGCTAGTTCTCGCCTTCTCTTCTATTTTTACGATCTATACCGTACTTGGAGCTGCCCTTGCACCACTTACAGCTAGTTTTGGTTATAACTCACAGGATAATAGTCTCTTCGGATCAATTTATGTAGTTGGAGGAGTTGTAGGCTCGTTCATTCATGCAATATTCCTGGATAGATTTGCACGATACAAGCTTCAATACGTAATAATCGGGATATTAAACTGCATATCCTTCGCGCTTGTAGTTTTCTTAATAGACATTAAAAGTACTCCTTTGACAACATGCTTATTATTCTTCATGGGATTTGCCCAGTTGCCCATAATCGGGGTATCATATTCCTTCTGAGCTGAACTAACTTACCCCATTAATGAGGCTCTTTCATGAGGGTTCCTTCAACTGTTTGGGTCTATTATTGCTACTCTATTCACATTCTTGGCGACTTCTATGATTTCTAATGACCAGAAGTTCCTTGCTCTTTACATCTTGCTTGGCCTGTGAGGAGTCGGACTTTTGTGTAAGCTATTAGTCAGAGAGATACTTAAGAAGAAAAGAGCTGGTATCAGAGGAACCATATTTTCATTCCATATTGGGAATCATCATTTCCCAAATTCATATCTCAACAAAACAAGATCTGACAGGAGTGACTTTGTTCCCCTCATTGATTCTGATGATGTTGACAGAATAGGATAATATTATTTAAAATTCCTCGGTTTTAAAAGTTTCAATTGGATACATATGAAAAGGGGTTTTGGGGTTTTGGGGTTTTGGGGTTTTGGGGTTTTGGGG